CAGAAGGAGAGTGGATGCTTTTGAGCTGTGGTGCTGGAGAAGGGTACTGAATGTACCATGGACTGCCAGGAAAACAAACAGATTCATCTTGGAGAGGATTAAACGAAGCTACTCCTTGGAGGCAAGGATTCTGGGGCTTCGTCTGACATACTTTGGACATATTGCCAGGAGGGTCCTTGGAGAGGGACATCATGCTTGGGAGGGTGGAGGTACAGCGCAGGAGGGGAAGACCCTCTCTGAGATGGATTGATTCGGTGACTGGGGTAATCGGGATGGGTGTGCCAGAGGCGGTGCGGTTGGCGCAGGATAGAGCAGGGTTTAGGGCTGTTGTGCATAGGGTCGCTATAAGTCGGAAACGACTCGACGGCACATAACAACAACAGGCCACTAAAGCACCATGAGAGGGACAATTATTGTTAGAATTAATAAAATGGTTGGACAGCAGAGGCATAGAAAACCTTGTCTCATAGGAATCAACCTAGCTTTTTTATTTTGATCCTCTTCCAAACTTGTGAAGTCAGAGTAGGTCAGATGCCTCCCGCAACCCCATTTCTATAATCTATCTCGTTATACCAGCACCATGATATTCACAAAAACCCTTTGTATGGACATGATTTCAAGAACCACCAGATACCCAAAGCACACCTCTCCTTTAGAATGCAGGAGACTCTGGCACTGCCTGAGTCTTCCTTGGTCACAGCTCTTTGTTCAGCATACGCATCACCTATCACCACCCCTTTCATATTAAGAGAAATGGTCCTCAGGGAATGTAAGCAAGTGACCAAGTTAAAACATGGACTGAGGGAGGTTTTTGGTTGTTTTGTGTTTAGTTTTGTTTTTTTTTAAAATCACGTTACTAAGATGAAATTAAGCTACATAAAGTGAACACAAAACCATCACCACAATCAAACTGATTAATACATTGATTGCCCCTTTGTAATCTATTTCTCCACCCCCTCCCTATCTCCCTCTCCAGGCAACCATCAATCTGCTTTTGAACTCTATAGAGTACTTTTAATGTCTTAGCTTTTTATATAAATGGAAAAATAAAGTAGATGTCTTTGTGTGTGTGTGGTCTGACCTCTTTCTCATGATATAATTAATTTTCTATTCATTAATGTTATTAGAACACATCCACTTGTTTTCAATTTTTTGGAAACATTTATAGAATTGATATTATTTCTTCTTTAAATATTAAATGGACTTCACTGGTAAAGTAACCTAAGCTTGAAATTGTCTATATGGGAACAGTTTGAATTAAAATTTTTTTGTGTGCTTGTTAGATCTATAGATTTATTTTACTGTTAGGTGAACTATTGAGTTGACTCCTAGCACCTTATGTGCAGAACAGAACACTGCCTGGTCTGCTGTTACACTGAGCCGACAGTTGCAGCCATTTTATTAGCCTATCTTGTTGAGGGGCTTCCTCTTTCTCACTGACCTTTCTTTTTACCAAGCATCATGTCCTTCTTCAGGCATTGGTCTCTCTTGGTAAATTGGATTGGGCCAGGGAATACTGCCAGCCACCTGGTATACAGTTGTTGTGGGGAAAAGATCTCTGGGAGGGTAAGGAAGACAAGGGGTATTATTAGACTTTTGCCATCACCAGCTAGCAACTAGTGTGAATCCTGCCGCAGCCCTGGGTTCTCAGCCAGAACCAACAAGTGTTCAACATGACTTCACTGCATTGTCTGGAGTTTTGTGTTCTGTTTCCATCAGTGAGCGATATTTTCACTCAGTGTCTTCTTTCAGTTAGTGTTTGAAATAAAGTATTTCTCTGTCTTTTATTTTCAAATAATAATAATCCTCTATAGTTGTTCTCTTTGATTTCTGATTTCTTTTTTGAAAAGGGTGTGGGCTGCTATCTAGTTTTTATACCATCTTATCTGTAAGCTCATGGTTTGATTTTTTATAATTTTTAAATAATTTTAATGAACATTTACAGAGATTTTGGATTTCCATTAGTTCATTGTTGCATGGTTTGATTTTTTAAGCAATTCTTTTCCTACTCACATTGTCTTTTATGGGATCATTCCTACACATGTGGCTTATAAAATTAATCACCGTTGATCTATGCTCACTATTACTCTATCTTTTCAGATTCCTACTGGATTTTTCTTCACTGCTGCTTCTGTAAGTATTAAATGTAGATCCAAGTAAAAGGAAATCCTTGACAACGTCAATGTTTCCCTCATTGTTGTGTGCCATCAAGTCAAAACTGACCCATAGCTGCCCCTCTGGTGGGTTTTCAGAGGCAATTAATTTCACAGGAGGAGATTGCCCATCCTTCTCCTACTGACCTCCAACCACATGCCTTCGGGATTGCAGTGCAGCTTCTTGCCACTATGCCACTTATTGGTTCAGTTGTGAGAAATTTTGTTTTCTTTACTTTGGTGCTCTGGTGGTGTAGTCTATAATGAATTGCAAAACTGTCTATAATGAATTGTAAAACTGCAGTGGTTCAAATCTAGCTCCAATAGCCTATTATTATTAATAGACTATTGATAGATAATCATCTCTCATTATGATTTACAATCTTGGAAACCTGATGGAGGGTTGAAATGAGTAGGGACAAACTTGATGACAGTGAGTGAATGAGTGAGTTATGTGAAGGCATGATCTATACTGATGGAGCTTCACTAGGTTCCTTCCCTGTCTAGAGTGTCTTCAGAAAGTCAACTGGAAAGAAGTGTGCTTCTTTTTGAAAAAAAAATTTTTTTATTTTATATTGGCTTACTTACAAAGTTCATATGTGTTGTTTATTACAAGGTCGCTTCACTTCTTTTACATATCTCAGGCATCGGTGTTTGCTGTTGATGTATAATGTCCTGCACACTATTTGCGATTATAGGGTAAATCTGTTACTTCATTTCCACGAGGACCTTAAATTCTGCTAGGGTGAGATTTTAACCAGGCTCTGTCTTATGTCAAATAGCAGACAGTCCTGCTTTTGAATCCATGAATCCTGAGAATATGGCTCACATTCCCTCTAGCATATATGTATTGCTGTAATATCTGATTTCTGAAAGCTTGAGCTTTTTTCCTATGCTGTTAGAAGAAGGCAGTGAAACAAGTTTTTCCTGTTTATAAATCTTTCTACCTTACACCCTTAAGCTCATTTTAAGAGTGAGGCAGTAGCTAGTGATAAAGGCACATCTTGACTAATTTTGGTGTCACTCTTAAAGAAAGGAACAATAAAAAGTAGCTTTTGTTACATGAAAAAAGAGGATGAAAACAGCTTATGAAAATACTGCCCATGAAATCTCATCAACTCTCAAAACAATGTGAAGAAGTGAGATGATTCATCACTCCCTTTGAGCATTCCTCAAATGTGTTCTACCAGGCTTAGGCTAACAGGCTCATTCTGTTGAGGCATGAAACATTGGTTAAGAATTTCCATTCTGTTTAGCAAGTAAGGAAGGAAACTTGGAAAGGAGCTGTTGGCAGAAGAATATCTGAATGTGAATATGTGTGTCTGTGTATTGGCTGGGCGTGGCATATTCGTGACTGAATGAGCATGAATGAGAATGTGTGTCGAGAGTGTGGCTTTTGTAAATGTGGATTGCGAGAGGGGTTTGGTGATTTTTCACTTGTCCCTCCTTTTGCACTCTCTCTAGATACACAGGCTGGAGTGGTGAAATGACTTTTCTTACTGCCAGGCTTTAACTGCAATCCTGGATCTCAGGTTGCCATCTGAGACCAGGAAGCAGCCCCACAGAGGGAGAGTTGCTCTAGATGCCTCTCTTGTCCTTCTCATGGTTGTGTCCATCTGACAGTAGAGAAGAATGGCTGCTAGAATGGCTGTATGTTTACTTTGTGGCTTCCGGGCTGCATTGGCCAGAAAGGAATGTGAGCCCGGATGAATCTCCTCAGATTGCTGCCACATGGAGTTGCCCTTTCATCCTTTCTCTTTAGAATTTAAATGCAGGATAGAAGAAGATGGGTTTTCACTTTCTTTTCATGTTTCTCCTAAACAGTCATGCTGCAGACCTCCTGAGCAAGAGATTTTCTACTAATCCCTTCAGCCCCATGATACTCTGTTCTTGCCAACCCAGGAGCCTGTGGACTACATGGAGCAGCACCCTCAATACAGTGTTGGCACGCACCAATGTAACCTGCCTGCCATTTGGGAAGAAGTTATTGCCAATATGCCTTAGCGATAGTGTTATTTATTTTTTTATACTCCTCTCCAACTTCCACTGTGGGTCAAGAGGAACATTTCAATGGATATTTACCTTCTTTCTGATCCATTTGTACCTTTTTATTCTTCTCAATTGAAATTCCATGAATGGCCTTGTACACTTAGAATTAAAACGTTGTACCCCATCCCCCACCTCCCTACTCGAGAGTATTTCCAGGTGAGAGTGATGCTTCAGTTTGTCTAGAAAGAAGAAGTCATGGGATTTGGAAGCAAACGCTTGGGTGTATCTTTGGGAGAGAGGTGAGAGAAGGACAGTCAGGGCAGTGTAGGGTGCTGGATGTCACACAGTGATGTGCAGTGTGGTGGTGACCGTGCTTATGTCAGAAGCTTGTGATGGTGACTGAATGTGAGACCTACATTACTTCACAGGACTATCCTGAGGATCCACAAACACCATACAAACGACACCACTGTGTGAATACTGGTTATTAATTTGCACAGTTGGGCTGAATTTGTTGAGCAACAAATGTTTCATACCATATGACTCCTTTTTTAATATAGAAGAAGCTTATTTTCAAAAGAAAGTATTTTGGTTGCTATTATCCAAAAGGATGCTACTGAACTTGAGCTGAGTGTTTACCTAGAGCATTGCTGTGCAGCTCAGAGTGCTCCTCCTTGCCCTAGATGTGGACATGGCCTGGAGAGACTCTTCCTGAGGCCAAGCCCCCAGTACAACACCTACCTGCCCTCAGTACCCACAGACCCCTACTCACATTTATCCAATGCCCACAGATCCTGATCCAGTTCTTTCTCCCCACAGGAAACCTTTCTACGGGGCCTGGCAAATTCATCTTTGATAATGGCATCAGATGCAAACCCCCCAGTCACCATAGGCTCTGTTGCTGCCCTCAGGGGCCTGGATGCTGGGCCTGACAGCAGCTTATTTCAGGAGAAAGCCAAGGCTCAGAAGATCCAGCCTGTGGAGCCACATCTCAAAGACCTTATGAAACCCCAAGAGCTTCTCATCTTCAAGCACCCTGCTGCCATGAGTCTTGGCATCCAGGCAGCTGCTGGGGATAGAGATTACCTCTTGGATACGAGTTCTGCAGTTGACCAGAGCAACTGTGGTAAAATCCCCAACCGGGACAGTGGTATAGAGAGCCCATCCTGCAGTGTGTCGAGTGAAAACTTTCCCTGTGAGGAAGGCAGGGAGGCCAGCCAAGACTCTACCAGGTTGGGGCTTCACCCAGAGACAGATATAAAGGATGCTCTACTGGACACCTCCAGTGACATGGGTGATGGCACCAAAGAGAGAGCTAACCCAGGGACTATCCTCCAGACATATGATGTGGAGCTAGGAGCAGCCAAGGTAGGTCTCATTGTCCCTTACTGCAGCCTTTCTTCATAAGCTTCACCAATGATGTGTTACTCTGTTCTTGTGTTCATGGGGCCATGGAATGCAAGAGGCTACTCATGCTTGGACTGTATGGACTGTGCTGGGGCTGGTAGTGGGGGTGTACCACAGGATTAGGACCCGGGCCCACCTGACCATGGACTGTGCTGGTCTGGGGGTAGGGCATGCCCACAGGATGAGGAACCAGGGCCATCTGACCCCTTAGTCAATGACTTATTTTGCTGAACTTCAGTCTTCATGTTTGCAAAATGAACACAGTAGTTTATTGCCTCAGGACAACCAGCCCCATAATGCAGTCACTGCCCTTTGTAAGGTCTCTGAATGTGTAAGTACATGGAGGGCTCACAAGACCCCCATTTGTGTCCTGCAGTGCTCCTATTGTGCTGCTGTGTAAACGCGGCTGGGTCAAGGAGTGGCTCGAATCTGCCTGGGTCAGAGCAAAGGGAAGGCTGGTATCCTGTCAGCATGGACAGGAGTCAGAGCAGCACTGTCTCTGGAGTGTTGGTTATCTGGAAAAGATGTTTGTTCTTTATAATTTGTCAACCTCAGGTGCTGTGCTGGGATCTACGGGGTTAGGAAAAGGCAACACACTCCTGGAGCAAAGAACCCTGTGTACAAGGAGGTGTTTGTAGTGAGCTAGTAAGTGGCCAGGGTTAACCTGCTGGTTCCCAGATGCTGGATGACAGGACTCCTGCTGGCAGGTGCACAGCAACTTACCGTGATAAACCATAGGGCTTCTTGGGCTTGCCCTACTGGAACTCTGGTCGCAGAATCACATTGATACTGGTGGAATTGTAGACCCAGGCCTTCCCCCTCTGACCCAGAGCCTGTCCGTTTTCTCTGTCACATAGTTGGAGAGAGCACTAGCCATCATGCACATTCCGAGGTGATGTTATACGACAAATGCCCAGAATGTTGTGCCTCCTACCTTTTGCGCAAATGAAGGATTCTGGTGGTGATGTATTTAAATAGTCACTGTAAATAAAGCACTGTTGTTATTAGGTGCCATCCGGTTGAGTATATGCCATCGGTTCCCTATGAACAATAGATCTGAACCATGTTCTATCCTGTGCCATACTTACATTTCCTGACACTCAAGAGCCCATTGCAGTAGTCACCGTGTCAATCCACTTGGTCAAAGGTCTTCCTCTCATTCACTGACCTTTCCAAGCATCATGTCCATCTCCAAGGAATATCCCCTCATAGCAACATGGCTGAAGTATTTGAGGTTAAGTCCCATCATCCTTGCCTCCAAAGAGCACTCAGGCTGCATCCTCTCCAAGATGTATTTTTTTGTTCTTTTGGCAGTCCATGGGATGTTCAGCACTCTTCTCCAACACCACAGCTCAAAGGCATAAATTTTTCTGCCACCCTTATTTATTTTCCAGCTCTCAGATACATAGCAAGTGATTGGAAAAACTATGGCCTGAATCAGACACACATTAATCCTTAAGCTGACATCATTATTCCTTAATAATTTGGAGAGGTTCCTAACTACAGACTTTCCCAGTGTACTATGTCTCCTAATTTCCTGACTGCTGATACCAATCTTTTAAAAATATATCATAATGTTGTCTGTCAACCCAGTGTTAAGAATCTAAGTCTTTATGATATTGTGATGCAAGCCATTTTTAAGACTGTATTCTCAATCTTCTGCAACAGGTGCTTCAAGTGCTCCTCACTTTCAGCAACCAAGGTTATATCATCTGCATAACTCAGGTTATTGATTAGTCTCTGTCCAATCCTGATGCGACATTTCTCTTCATTGAGTCCAGCTTCCTGAATTATTTGCTCAATTATTCCTGAATTATTATATTGAATAGTTATGGAGAGAAAATACAACCCTTACACACTCTCTTCCTAAGTTTAAACCATGGAGTGTTTTCTTCCTCTGTTCACACGACAGCCTGTGGTCTAGGTATAAGTTTCACATGAGCACAATTAAGTGCTCTGAGATTCCCATTCTTTCCACTGTCATCCACAACTTGTTATTATCCACACAGCCAAATGCCTTTGCATAGTCAACAAAGCACAAATAGACATTCTTCTGGTATTCTTTACTTTCAGCCAGGATCCATTTAACATCAGCAATGATATCCCTGGTGCCATGGTCTCTTCTAAATCCTGCTTGAACTTCTGGCAGTTCTCTATGTACTATTCTAGCTGTTACTGAATGATCTTTAGCAGTATTTTACTTTTATGTGATGTTAGTGATATTGTTCAATAGTTTCCACATTCTGTTAGGTTACCTTTCTTGGGAATGGGAACAAATATGGACATCTTCCAATCCATTGGCCAGATAGTTATTCTCCAAATTTCCTAGTATAGACTGGTGGGTGCATCCAAGGCTGCATCTGTTAATTGAAACAAGTCAATTGGTATCCCATTGATTTATTTTTTTCCAATGCCTTCAATGCAGCTTCCACTTCCTCCTTCATCGCCATTGACTCCTGATCATATGATATTTCTTGACATTTTTCAGTATCAGTCAGTTATGTTTTAGTACAGTGATTCTGTGTATTCCCTCCATCTTCCTTTGATGCTGTCCGGATCATTCAATATATTGCCCATAACATCTTTCAGTATTGTGACTTGAGGCTTAAATTGTTTTCCAGTTCTCTCAGGTGAGAAATGAAGGGTGAGTTCTGACCTTTTTATTCTCCAATTCCAGCACTCTGCACATTCCATAATAATAATCCTTTGCTTTGTCTTCTTAAGCTGTCCTTTGGAATCTTTTGTTCTGCTTTTTACTTCAGCATGTTTCCCTTTTGTTTTGGCTTCTTGAGTCTCTAGTGTAATTTTTAGATATCCATTCAGGTTCTTTCTTTCTCCTCTGTCTTTTTGCTTTCTTCATGGATCGTATCTTTGATATCATTCCATAGCATTGGTGGTCAATGCTTCAAACATATTCTTAAGTTTGATCTTGAAATTCAAATGTAATAGATTTAAGATCATATCTTTGTTCTTATTTTAATTTGGACTTGTTTTAATTTTGAACTTTAAAATGATATTGCACATGAGTCTGACCCACAGACTGCCGCTGCCTAATTTTGACTGCCAATATTGAGCTTTTTCAGTGATTCCTTTCATAGATGTAGTCAATCTGATTCTTATGCAGGCCATCAGGTGAGATCCATGTATAAAGTCATCTTTTGTGCCTTCTAAAAAAGTATTTTCAAAGAATAAATCATTGAAAATACAAAATTTGATCAATTCTATCCCAGCCTCATTTCTATGACCAAGCTCATATTTTCCAATTACTATCTGACCTGAAGCACTTGCTGCAGAAGGTCAAGGACTGTAGTCTTCTATATGGGTTGAAGCTCAACATCAAGAAGACAAAGATCCTCACCACTGGGACAATCGACAGCACCTTGACAGGTGGAGAAGAGATTGAAGTTATTAACAATTACAGTTTGCTCAGCTCCACCATCAACACTCTTAATATCAACAGTCAGGAAATCAAAAGATGAATTGTATTGGAAAAAACTGCTGCCAAGGATCTCTCCAGAGTGCTAAAAAGCGGGGATGTCAGTCTAGAGACTAAGGTGTGCTTAATCCAGGCCAGGGTCTTCACAAGTACTTTCTGTCCATTAGAGAGATGAACAAAGCATAACAGCAAAAGAATAGTTGCTTTCAAATTGTGGTACTGGAGAAGAGTCTTGAATATTCCATGGACTACCAAGAAAACAAATAGGTTTGTCTTGGAAAGGGTGAAATCAAGTCTCCTTGGAGGCTAGGATTTTGAAACTCTATCTCACATACTTATGGCTTGAGGCTCAATGTCAAGAAGACAAAGATTCTCACCACTGGACAAACTGGCAGCATCAGGATGGATGGTGAAGAGATTGAGATTATTCACAGCTTTAGTTTGCTTGGCTCCACAGTCAACACTCTTGGCACTGGTTGCTGTTGTTGTTATGTGCCGTCGAGTCACTTGCGACTCATGGTGACCCTATGTGCAACAGCCCTAAACCCTGCTCTACCCTGTGCCAATCGCACTGCCTCTGACACACCCATCCAGATTACCCCAGTCACTGAATCAATCCACCTCATAGAGGGCCTTCCCCTCCTACGCCATCCCTCCACCCTCCAAAGCATGATGTCCCTCTCCAAGGACCTGCTCCTCCTTACAACATGTACATAGTATGTCAGATGAAGCCCCAGCATCCTTGTCCCCAAGGAGCAGCCCGGTTTAACCCACTCCAGGATGAATCTGTTTGTTTCCTTGGCAGTCCATGGTATATTCAATACTCTTTTCCAGCACCATAGGTCAAAGGCATCAATTCTCCTTCTATCCTCCTTGGTCATTGTCCCACTCTCTGATGCATAACAAGTGATAGTAAAGGCCATGGCCTGTATCAGACACACCTTAGTTGCAAATAGAAATACCATTTGACCCAGCAATTCCACTACTGGGACTATATAGAAACCATAACTGCCACCCAAGCAGATATATGAACCCCTATGTTAAATGTTGCTTTGTTCACAATAGCAAAGAGTTGGAAACAACCCAAGTGCCCATCAACAAATGAATGGATAGAGAAGCTGTGGTAT